CCCCAAAACCCCAAAACCCCAAAACCCCAAAACCCCGAGGTGAAGCATCAAAAGAAATTTAATTTAAGTGGGAATCGAGCAGAAATAATTTTATTTGGAATTAATCTAGATAAGTTTAGAGCGAAGATGTCAATGGATTTTAGAATGTCGCAGACTATTTACAACCCAAGCGATCACAAGTGGAAGACACCAGCACAAATCAGATCTATTTCTCTACCTAACATTCCTAATAAGAAATACTATACTGTAACCACCTTGCATAATTGCTTTGTGTTAACCTATTTATCTAGATAATAAAAGAGATCATCAAGCCCGAGTACATTCACACATTGACAAATTGGATATCCAATCTTTCAGACTCCAACAAAAGAGTATTTTTATTTTCAAAAAAAACTGTAATCATAGGGATTGAGAATTATTGAGAAGATTATTGAGATAAAGGGAGCAAAGAAATTTAAGCAGAGAAACGTCTCAACAGATCAAGCTGTGCCTATCTTGGATTTATAAAACTTAAAGTTTGAAGATGCTCAGAAGGAATTCAGAAGAATGACAAACACAACCCACTATGCTTAAGTTTTTGGATAGAAGCCTAAGATGCAGGAGGACTATGAGATTCTTAAGTATAAGAAGTTCACAGATTTATAGATATCAACCATCCTGAAGCACCAGCCTTGCCAATTCGTTGAATCTTGGCTTAGTCTCAATGATTAACAAGAATTCACAGGCCAGCTTTATCTGACTCTCAGAGATATCTACACAGTGATCAGAAATCAACAACCACCAAAGTCTCTTGCATCTGTAGACTATGTTCATTCAAAGCAAGATGCAAATGCCAAAGCTCCTAGATACGATAAGCTTATCTTGCAGCACAAAGGGAAGAAGCCTGTTTAGTAAAAGAGAATAGATATTTAATAAGAGTTGTCGATCTTGAAAAGACTAAACCTGTCATTGAATCGCAAGAATAATAACATGAAGTACCAGTTTGCTGAGCCAATCATAGACCCTAAACAGTTCAAATAAAACTTCTTCCAAGGGTGCGGCAACATCACTGCCTATTGTGAATTGAATGACCCTAAGATTACCGACTATCAGGAGACATTCAAAGGCAAATAGATTTACAGCAAGTTTGATGAAGGTAAGAAAGACTTCAACACTTCCTGCTGTATTGGAGGAGTCATTCCAGATCCAGCATTTATGAGCAAGACAACATAGAAATTCGAGAATTACAAAAATGAATTGAAGACAATTACACAGAGATTCCTTAGAACTGCCTAGGAAACAATGGACAACAGATCGATGTAAGCCAATTAAAGATGAAATTTACCTTATTAGGAAGTTTAATGATTCAATAAGATCATGAAATACAGAACAGGCAGTAACAACTAATAAACACGATGATTGATTATCACCTTTAAGAGAGTGATACAATATATAATTTTTAACAAATATATTTTATGAATTCGATAAGTAAAAGCTATTCTTATTAGCGGGGTTTTGGGGTTTTGGGG